ATTGGAGATCCTAAAGGTACCAAAGGCCCTAAAGGTCAAGAAGATCCTAAATATCCCAAAGGTCAAGAAGGTCCTGAAGGTTCTATATGTACCAAAGTTACTTGAGGCCCTAAAGGTCAAGAAGATCCTAAATATCCCAAAGGTCGAGAAGGTCCTGAAGGTTCTATATGTACCAAAGTTACTGGAGGCCCTAAAGGTCAAGAAGATCCCGAAGGTGAGATCCATTCACATGGATGAGAACATTGATGAGTGTAATCTGTATTCACGTTCTGTGAATGCTCCAAAGCTTTTTAAATAAATCTGATGAACTGCACCTTGGTCTGTTTGGGAATCTCCTTTATTCCCAGGACACCAGCATCTAAATGTCCAGAAGGTCCCAGAGGCCATGAAGGTCTTGAAGGTCCTGAAAGTGGGAAAGTCCCAAAGGTCCTGGGGTTCCTGAAGGTCCTGAAGGTCCTGAAGGTCCAGTGAAAACATGATGTCTGCTTTGTGAGCACCCTGAGGTGTTTTTATAAACCTGAGTCTAAACCGGGTCACAGAGATCCAGACCGGTTGAGACGAGGACATAATCTAAAGGATTATTTCCTAAAAGTTTCTTTAAAGTCCAGATTGATGAACTGGGATTAAAGGAAAAGGAACTGGACTCCTGAGGAGAGGTGGAATATTAAAACAGCTCGTCTTTCTGCCACTTTTGTTTTAGTTTATCATAATTAAATTTATTAATAATTTTTTCTGAATTCACGTGTTCAAATAAAACAATTCATTAAAATCCATCCAGTGGTTCATGAGATATTTTACTAACAGACAGGGACACAAACACCGTTGTCCTCCATTCAGCAGCGGGTGATAAACATTCACGCTTAGGGACAATTCAGTTTCCAGTTAACGCGTGTCCAAAAGAAAACAAAAACAGGAAGTAAAAAATAAACAAAACTTTATTTTAAATTAAAATCAATCTGAACAGATTTTCCTGGACGACTCGGTCGGAGGATTTTTCTGAGACTTTTTATTTTTTATCCTAAAAATGTTATCGTGTTCTTTCCTTTCCTAGTTTTCTGAAGTGTTCATGTTTCCCCAGACAGCAGCCAACAGGCAACAAGTGGAACCAAACCTCAAACTGCAGGATTATCTTCAGATTACAGCAGATTTGCAACTGACCTAAATGTTTAATTCTGCACCAAGCTGTGGTTTGATGCTGGCTGCGTGAAATTCTAAACTTTGTTTTTAGTTTTCGATCGTCTTCTTGGCTCATTTTCAGAAAACAAACAGCTGATTTGTTAATATTATTGATATGAGTGGTGATAAAATCGATTAAACTGACTGGTCAGTTCTATTTAATTTTATTTATTAATAAAATCAACTTCCTGTTGTTGGTAATTAAATGTTTTTCTGCTTTATATGTTTAGTGTTTGAAGACAACATGTGAAGAAATCCAAAACAAGAAAAAAGAGAAAACA